AGACATACTGTAAAAATGTCCTTGCTCTGTTAAACATCATTTGGAAAATATTAAAAAAAGAAGAAAAAAAATCAAAGGAGGCTAATAATTCTGACTTCAACTGTATGTAGTTATGTATATATGTACAATTATTACGTTAAAGAATAAAATAATTCTATATCAATTTTATATATAACTATAACTAACTATAACTATAACTTAATTTAGCAAGACTATACAAACTAATGTTGAATTACAGCTATACATCCTCTGATATAATTGTAGCTTTTGTGGTCTATCAGAGTGCATCTGTTAAGTGTGCAATGAGATAGCCTTGTGGCAAAGTACATTAGCACGTAATATCACAAGTACTGAAATCCCTTTAGAATAGCCTTCCATTTCTTTCCATTGTTAGTAAATTGCTAGTTTAAACTAGACTAGAAAAGGTAGTTTATTACGAGAGTTTATTTGGAGAGAGATTCTTGAACCCCTATGACCATTAGCACACCAATGGACACTTGTGTCCAAGATTCATCAACATCGCTTGCCTGAATGAAAGCAAGTAAGAAAAATATTACAACCTGGAAATGGCATGTTTAACTGCCCTGCCTACACTGCCTTTTATTCATGAAAGAAATCGCATATGCTATAAGCAATGCCATAAGATTTTAATGCTTAAATTATGAAAAGGTTTTTTTGGTAATTTGCAGAGATTCATCTATTCATTCATATTCTTTTCAGGTTAGTCCCTTTATTTATAAAGGGTCGCCACAGCTGAATGAAACACAAACTTATCCAGCATATGTTTTACACAGCTTATGCCCTTCCAGCTGCAACCCATCACTGGGAAACACCCATACACTCTCATTCACACATATACAGTGCATCCGGAAAGCATTCATAGCGCTTCACTTTTTCCACATTTTTTATGTTACAGCCTTATTCCAAAATTGATTAAATTCATTTATTTCCTCAACATTTCACACACAATACCCCATAATGACAATGTGAAATTATTATTATTATTTTAATTTTTTGCAAATGTTTTAAGAATAAAAAACCTAAAAAATCCCATGGAAATAAGTATTCATAGCCTTTGCTCAATACTTTGTTGATGAACCTTTGGCAGCAATTACAGCCTCAAGTCTTTTTGAATATGATGCCACAAGCTTGGCACACCTGTGTTTGGGAATTTTTGCCCATTTCTTTTTGCAGTAACTCTCAAGCTCTATCAGGTTGGATGGGAAGCGACGGTGTACAGCCATTTTCAGATCTCTCCCGAGATGTTCAATAGGATTTAGGTCTGGGCTCCGGCTGGACCCCTCAAGGACATTCAGCCACTCCATTGATATTTTGGCGGTGTGCTTTAGGTCATTGTCCTGCTGGAAGATAAACAGTCGCCCCAGTCTGAGGTAAAGAGCACTCTGAAGCTGGTTTTTATTCAGGATGTATTCTGTACTAGCCTTCTATTTCCTGCTGCTGAAAAAACATTCTCACAGCAGGATGCTGACACCACCATGCTTCACTGTAGGGATGATATTAGCCTGGTGAAGAGCAGTGTCTGGTTTTCTCCAAATGTAACGCCTGATATTCACTCCAAAGAGTTTAATTTTAGTCTCATCAGACCAGAGAGTTTTGTTTCTTATGGCCTAGGAGTCCTTCAGATAACTTTTGGCAAATTCCAGGCGGGAAGTGTCTTCCGTCTTGCCACTGTACCATACAGGCCTGATTAGTGTATTGCTGCACAGATTGTTGTCCTTCCGTAAGGTTCTCCTCTCTCCACAGAAGAATGCTGGAGCTCAGACAGAGTGACCATCGGGTTAATGATCACCTCCCTGACTAAGGCCTTTCACCCATGATCACTCAGCTTAGATGGCTGGCCAGCTCTAGGAAGAGTCTTAGTGGTTCCTAACATCTTCCACTTATGGATGATGGAGGCCACTGTGCTCTTTGGAATTTTCAGAGTATCAGAAATTTTTCTGTAACTTTCCCCAGCCTTGTGCCTCAAGACAATCCTGTCTCGGAGGTCTACAAACAATTCCTTTGTCTTCATGCTTGGTTTGTGCTTTGACATGCACTGTCAACCCTGGGACCTTATATAGACAGGTGTATGACTTTTCAAATCATGTCCAATCAACTGAATTTACCACAGGTGAACTCCAATTAAGCTGCTCAACATCTCAAGAATGATCAGTGGAAACAGAATGTACCTGAGCTCAATTTAGAGCTTTAAGGCAAAGGGCTGTGAATACTATGTACATGTGATTTTTCAGGTTTTTTATTTATAATAAATTGGCAATTATTTAAAAAAAAAAACTTTTTTCACATTGTCATTATGGGGTATTATGTGTAGAATTGTAAGAAAATAAATGAATTTAATCCATTTTGAAATAAGGCTGTAAGAAAAAAATTTGGAAAAAGTGAAGCACTATGAATACTTTCCGGATGCACTGTACGCTGCGGACAATTTAACCTACCCAATTCACCTGTATCATATGTGTTTGGACTGTTGAGGAAACCGGAGCACCCGGATTACTGTTTATTTTCATAATCATTATTTTAAATGTAGAACACAAACAGTGTAGACAGTGTCTGCATAGAGAAACATTGTATGTGCTGGTGAAGATTGTGGGTTTACAGGGCTTTGACATAAATATGAATTTGTTTATAGGGCTTTAAAGGATAAATTTAACCTTTACCTACGTGACCTTGTGTTTCTACAGCACTAAAAATTCAGTGAATTACCTTTAAATTTGTGTTTAATTTGACTACTCAGCATAGCAATACACATTTCTAATACTCAAAAAATGTAATTTTGATGTACTTAAAGAAAGTTTACAAGATATAGGCTTATTCATAGAACATCTTATTAATCTTTACTCAATTTGATTTTTGGCATAACATAAGACCCTGTGACTTTAACAGAGTTTAAAAATCTTGATGGTTCAAGATCCAAACTTTCGTCTATCATAAATGATCTTTATTTTGTATTTCCTAATGGAATCAAGTCAGGTGATTGGCCAGGCCATTATACAGCTTGATACATTTCTTTTTCTGAAACCATTCGAGAGTCAACTTGGCTGTGTTTTGGATCATTGTCTTTCTGAAATGTCCACCCTGGTTTTTCATCATCCTGCTAATGTAGATGTTGGACTTTACAATGAGAAAGAGTAGAGGGTTGCTGAAGAACTACTGAGAGATTTCAGCTGCTTTCTGGGCTTTCACTGCCTTTCTACACCTCCCTTTCTTTATGTAGGAAGGGACAAGAAGGGTGGGGAGTTGTGGGACCCTAATAATATCTCCTCGAACCTGCCAAACACAATGACTTCAGTGTCCTCTTTGTTTAACTGATTAAAGTTTTAGCACATCCAATTGTCAATTTCATCAATGCATTGGCAGAGGGTGTGTATAGGGCTGTAGTCATTAAGCAGTAAGGTTAATTAGATCTGACTGTCATCAGCATAGTTGTTTTTACTCATTATTTGGCTCAGAGGAAGCATATAAAGTTTGAACAGAAGAGGTGCCAGAATCGAGCCTTGTGGGACTCCACATGTCATGGGTGTCCACTTTAACCTATGGTCACCATACTGACATAGTAACCTCTCCCTTCAAGCTAAGATCTTAACCATTTGAGGATCGTCTCAGACAGCCCAACCCAGTTTTCCAGCCTATCCAGAAGTTTGCTGTGATCGACAGTGTCAAATGCAGCACTGAGATCAAGCAATACCAGCACTGTTAGCCTGCCTGAATCTGTATTTAGGAGTATATCATTGATTATCTTTATAAGAGCGCTCTCTGTACCTTGAAGCTTAAAAACTTGTTAACCTGGTTAAAAACAACCTTTTCAATGACTTTGCCAATGAAAGGGAGATTTGAGATTGGCCTTTAGTTGCTCAGTAGGGTGTTATCCAGGTTGCTCTTTATCAAGAGGGGTTTAACAACTGCAGTTTTAAGTGAGTTTGGAAAAATCCCTGAAAGAAGTAAAGCATTTACCACTTTTAGGAGATCCATTTCTAAACAGTTGAACACTGTCTAGAAATATGATGGAACTAAAAATTTTGAAGAATGGAACGTTTTGAAGAATTAAATGGAGAAAGGATTGATTTAATTTAAACCTGTTATACAAAACCTTCATGTTAGTTGAGTTTGGACTTTACACCAGTATTGTTGAACTTGACAGCTTTATTCTTCTGGTCGGTTTGAGAGTGACATGTAATAATATGAAATGAGCGTTGCAGCATCGCAGGAAACTCGTTCACTGTACAGTTTATTTTGTTCTCTGTGCTCCAGGATAGGAAACTGCAGCTAGATATTCACAACGAGATTGAAGCCATGGGGCCATCTGCTGGTCTGTATAGTTACTACAATAGACTGTATATCTAAATTAACTTTGTGGATCTTTCCACAAATTTAGCATTCATTCATTGAAAAACACCACACATTTATTTTTCTTGTCTTCATTTGATTATATTTTCATATAGGTAAGCACATTTATTTGTCCATTGGACACAATCTGTTACTGTGAAGGTTTAGTGAATTACTTTTTTCATTGTTTTGTTCGAGGATTTTTAAGACATTTGCAAAGTTTTAAATTTGCAGCCTACTTTTTCACATTACTTAATTAAAACATGTATTTCTTTGATTAAAAACAAGGAAAAGTGGCATTTTTTCCCGATATGATAATTTTTTCATGATGATTTTTTCATTTATTCATTCATTATTTTCTGTTAACCTTTTTATGTATTCTTGTCATTCTCCCTGTGCTTTTTGTTTATTGTTTGATCTAAAAATAAAAATATAAACATGAAGCAAAAATCATAAATTGAATTACAGCATCACCAATATAGGTCATGGGGTATTAAACTTGTAAAATCGGTTAGACTGCTGAGGATTACTTGAATAATATGTTGATAATAATAATAAAAGATTCCACAAAACATTGCGATTATATTAGATTAATGTAATCTAACTTGCAATAAACCTTAGCATTTCTGAAGATATATACAATTCACACACACAGCTTTTGGGAGAAATGCACTTTATTGTGAACGTTAACACACAGTACACAAAAATTGTTTTAATATGTCCCAGAGTCAGATCTTTTTAACTTATCAGGCACAATAACAATAACTACGTGAGCCTTGCTGAATCAGGAACAATATTTTTTAGGAAATGAAAGGAATTAGACTCTGATTAGGCTCAATATTTCATTTCATTGAGCGACAGTGGAGAGAAAAAAAAAACAATAAAGGCTAATGTTTCTATAAATCAATCAACAAAATATTCTCTGTAGCCATTTTAAAGATAAATCATTCTCTAAATAGGTAAAAAACTTTTTATTTTATAATAGACTCATTTTCAAGTGCACGACGGTACATTTTTGGACAAAGTGCTTACAGCTGGAGGACACATGATATAAGCATAAAAGCTCACAAACACAGAGACACACTCAGTAGAAATATGTGACGGCCTACATACTGCAGTTTCTAGTACAAGTGAATGCTTCTTTTGTTCTTATTTGACAGTTTGATGATTACAAGGGCTGCAACAATTAGTCGCCAATGTCGACTCTTAAAAAAAATTGTTGACTAATATTCTTGTCTATTGGAGGGACTGATTTTTTTTGTTTTGTTTTGTTTTGTTGGTTGATAAATCCCTTACTTTGATTTTTTAAACTTCTCATCCGACTGATCTAAGTGTATTTAAAACTTAGCAAGCTGTCCACACTGAAAAAATGATTCATTTTATTGAATTTACTTCATTTTTAAAATGTAAATGGTTGCAAACTATTTTTATGGGCTGAATTTAAACATTCATTCATTCATTTTCGTGTCAGCTTAGTCCCTTTATTAATCCGGGGTCGCCACAGCGGAATGAACCGTCAACTTATCCAGCACATTTTTACGCAGCGAATGCCCTTCCAGCCGCAACCCATCTCTGGGAAAAATCACACACACAATCACACCGACACCCATACACTACGGACAATTTAGCCTACCCAATTCACCTGTACCACATGTCTTTGGACTATGGGGGAAACCGGAGCACCCGGAGGAAACCCACGCGAACACAGGGAGAACATACAAACTCCACACAGAAACGCCAACTGAGCCGAGGCTCGAACCAGCAACCCAGTGACCTTCTTGCTGTGAGGCGACAACACTACCTACTGCGCCACTGCTTCGCCCTGAATTTAAACAAACTAATGAAATTAAGTAATTAATTCATTCATTTTCCTTCCACAGCAGAATGAACAGCTAACTATTTTGGCATGTGTTTTACGCAGCGGATGCCCTTCCAGCTTCAACCCAGTACTGGGAAACATCCATACACTCTCATTCACACACATACACTATGGACAATTTTAGCTTACCCAATTCACCTGTACCACATGTCTTTGGACTGTGGGGGGAAACCGGAGCACCCGGAGAAAACCCATGCAAACACGGGGAGAACATGCAAACTCCACAGAGAAATGCTAACTGACCCAGCCGAGGCTCGAACCAGCGACCTTCTTGCTGTGAGGCGACAGCACTACCTACTGCGCCACCGCGTCGCCGATATGAGTATTATGACTTAATTTTTTTCCATATTTGTAAAAGCTTAAAAACAGACATGTTGGGGAAAAAATCATATCAGTTACTTATGAGAAAGCCGCTGCTTGTCTTTTTATTTGTACAATAATTTTTCTAATAATTGTTTACCGGTTAATACTTTGCCATTGTGGCTGTCCTGAAGTAAAATGCCCTTTTTCTGTCCCTTTTTTTTAATTAAATCAAACTGTTGACAGAGATTCTGTCGTGAAGAGATTTGTTTACAACATTATATTTTTATTTTTGGTTTGAAGTGAAAATGATTCAATGACAAAATCAGAAAACTGAAAGAGAGTGATCTGTTCAGTTTGATCAAAGTTCATTAAAACATCTCAAGTGCATTAGAACATTTCAAAAGCTGACAATTGCATTATTTTTTAAATGATTACTTAGGATCTACAACTGTTTCAACTCGTCACAAAAGTTGAACAATCATTAAAAACCTACTGATTAGTTATTGAAATATTTAGCGATTAGTTGTTGGTTAATTGATTATTATAATAATCTTTCTTGCAGGTCTATAATGATTACCGGGGTGAGGAGGAATATCGTGAAAAAGAAATCTGCAATCGACAAACATGATATGATGTGCCTTTTTTGGACATCATGTCATTAAATGTAGGCAGAGGATATATTCCAGAGCCTGGATTGCTACACACTCATGGCAGACACCATTATGACAATCACGGACGCACAGATACACATATTTTGCCAATAAATAGCATGAATCAGCGATAGAGGGGAATTAAGACAGTGTGAAAGCAGATGTGGTACACTCTCACAAATAAAGGTATGAGAGCTGTCACTGGGGTGGTACCTTTTTGTACACATTTGTACTTGAAGGATCCATATTAGTACCTCAGAACTATATAATAAGTATTAATATGGTCCTTTTAGGTACAAATTTGTACCTTTTGAAAAGTTACCACCCTAGTGACAACTAGCATACCTTTATTTTTGAGAGTGTACAATTGTGATGCCCACTGCAATGGTCAGTGTAGCAGTTCCTGAAGCAGCTCTGATGCCAGCTGACGGATGTGGCACCAGGCCTCCTGGACATGACGTGACTCAGTAGCGCGGGCACACACGGCAAACCGCAGAACAAACAGGCCAGCCAGGTGGCAAGGAACCAGATGAATCTTCCGTGCGCTGTTGATCCTCTTCAGCAGATTTTCACTTAATTCATTGGGGCCCTGCAAGGTTTAATACACAATCGAGTAAGTATACTTTGTAACTGCTCCCTTTCAAGGATGCATAACTCAAATTCATTTATTAGCTCTTAATATTAGCTCTTTGTGTGTGTGCTTATGAATTTCGGTGTACACAAAACTAGATGCTCTAAAGTAAAGAATGCTAGAAAAAAGCAACTAGTAGCTATGTGAATTAATTTTAGGCTCAAAATTGGAATATTGCACAAAGGATTTGCAGGTAATGCAACGTTTCCATCAAATGAGTCAGCTAAATCTTCACAGCTAAATCTGCGCTCTAGTAACTTCATTAACCTTTGCATACCCAAAGTTCGCACTTGATTTGGTCGCTACTCTTTTCAGTTTTCTGCTGCTGATGCTTGGAATCATCTGCAGCAGACCTTAAAGCTCAGCACTTTCATTCCGCTATCATCTTTTAAAAATTCTATTCAGTCAATAGTTCAAGATCACTGTGCTTGTTTTTAGTTTTTTTTTTGTTGTTGTTGGTTTTATATGTTATTATCTGCATTTGTGTTGTTATTGTATTGTTTCCCTAGTGCTCTGTACTGCATCTGCTTTTCATGTTGCCTCTTGGCCAGGTCGTCATTGTAAATGAGAACTGGTTCTCAATTGACTTACCTGGTTAAATAAAGGTTATTATTCTTGATAAACGCCAAATATCAAAAGAAAAACTGATTTTTTTAAATCATTACATGATCTTAAAACAATCACAAGACTATTTATTTTCCATACTGAAATTCTTTTAGTAGAAGTTTTAATTGTAGTTTTCTTATAGAATTCAAAGTTTACCACAACCATTTTTATGCACATTTTCGAAATATAAATCACATCTTGACATTTCCAATAAGTATTTTTCATTGTGATTAATCCCAAATGCACTCAAAATAGGTAAATGGAAACAAGGCTATTGACATCCATAGTACAAACAAAAAATACAATTGAAGTTAAAGGCTGCTTATTTGGTTTTTAGTTGTGATTTGAATAATACTGGGTCCTATCATACATGCTGCACAATAAGGCGCAAGACATGTAAAGTGCAATTTAGTATTTAGTATTTAGTATTGTAACATTGTTCTTAATATCTGAGCTGATATAAATTAAATAACATGTTGTCGCTTTTATATAACAAAACAAAATTCCATATTGTCAGCTGTGGCTTTATATTTACAGTTAAATATTTTCAAAATGAAAGTGAATTTTGCTAAATTTACATGGATTAAAATGATTGTATTAATTTGAAGTTTTAAACTTTTTTTATTTTTTAATCTAGATGATTTCCATAACTCATGCATGAAAGGGTTAAAACCCATTAGTAAACACATTTAAAAATGTATCCAGCCTACCTGTTTTTAGTTGCTGCTTACCACAACATGATTTTGTGCAATCTGCAGCTCTCTTTGCACAGCTTGCACAAATTAAAATAAGTCATACTGCAATTTTCCATAGTTAACCACCTCCCAGAGCCAAGCTATTATAAGCACAGGCCGAGATGTGTTTGTTTCTGTAGTGAAAGTGTTTTTCTCTGACCTTGAGTCTAAAGCAGACGAGACCCATCACCACATCAGCTGAGATCTCAAAGCGTTGATCAGCTCTCACGAAAGCCTCGAACTCTTTAGCCAGTCCTACATGCTGAAACACGATCGACAATACATTGCAAACAGGATATATGCAGATCATTTGAAAATCATTCAAATTAACATTAGCCAAGCAAATATGCATTTATAGCATTGTCAGTTGTAAAAATTATTTATAAATTACAATACAATATAGCAGGTGGGGTTTTTTCATCCTTTTTAGCGTTTAAAAAAAAACTTGACTATAATTTAGTTCACGTTTTCAGTGTATTTCTGTTTTTTTTGCAGTGTATTTCTGAGTTGTAATGCCCAGATCTTATCAAAGTCTAAAATGAAAGAGTTGGAGAGACATTCTCTGTGCATACATTCAAAAAGGGAATGTATAGCAGAAAATGTTTGCTTTTCCTTTGTAACTTACAGACTAAAGCTTCAATCACACTGCACTTTACTCCACATAGACTTTCATTCATACGCATGCGAATGCGTCAGACCAGAAACATGGGTCATGCAGCAAGTTTCGCAGTTTGCTTCGTTGGAAAGTACAAGCTTGGTGAACTCTGACCTGCGAAATCACATCATATGATTGCGTGACACCAATCGAGGATCAAAACATGACCTCTCTGGGCAGAAATTTCAAATATGGACCAATCGCTAATCTTCTTTAATCCCCGCCCCTTTTCGCAGCGCCCTACTACAGAATTTCGCACGCTCAGACTTTAGTGTGACCGTGGCATTACTCTGTCCATACACCCATACATCTATATAAAATAATTTAAATAAGATTTTCTCCAGGTGAAAAAAAAAATATTATAAGGAATACTGTGAAAACTTCCTTGCTCTGTTAAACATTCATTCATTCTAATTCCTTCATCACTTGGGAAATACTTGGGGAAATACATTCACAGAAGGGATAATAATTTTGAGGTAAACTGTATATACAGAATACAGTGCAAAGCATACATGAGTACACCATCTTTATTAAAATATTAATTGAATATGAATATTTATCAAGTATTTCTCAGTAAATGGAAACAAAATATTTTTGCACATTTAAAACAAAATTTGTAATTAATTAAATAAAAAATTTGGTCACCTAACATTTTAATATTTTTCGTGGTTTAAAATTTTTATTAATGGTTTTATTATGTTTTTTTTTTTCTTGCCCCAAGAGAAGCGACATAGTAAATTAAGGTGTAAAATAGTAAACTAAATTTCAGCTTTGGGTGAAGTACTCCCTTTAACATACCAGAAGAGGGCAGTCAATTCAAATCAAACAACCAAAATATCATGATCCATAATCATGTAGATCTAATTAGCAAAACAGATTAAATTTAACAGCAATCAAAGCTTTAAGGCTGATTACTGGAATTCAATCTGACCAGGCAATTTCCTCATTCTCAGACAGTTATTCTTTATGGCTTCTGTCCAGAGCTGACCTGAGTCATTCAGAAGCAGCGTACTGAATGAAGCTTTGAGAAATACTGGGAAATGAAGCACTTTGCAGATTGATTTCCATGATCTTTTATTATCCATATCCATTTTTAAAGAACACATACACATTTTAAAAAAGAAATATTAAATATTGACATGATTTCCTGTATAATAAGGTGACTGTTTTCTGGGGGCAGTCGCAATTTTAGTTGTAATACATATGAATGAATCAATCAATGATTAAAAAAAATTGTTTAACATCCAAATGCAAAAATCAGTATATTAAAATACAAGTAATGTACCTAAACAATTTTACTTACTTATAGGGTATATTTAGCCTCTAGGCTAGTTCTGCAGGTTTCATACATTGACTCAATATTTGTGCAATTATGAATCAACCATATTGAATCAACCATAGTATGTACCAATATACGGGTGTCCAGTGCCCCCTATTTAAATTCTTACCCTGATCACACTGTAAATAATAATGACAAAAAGCCAATACAACAAAAGCTTTTATGTTATGAACTCATTTTAATATATTAGGTTAAAATATTATATATATATATATATATATATATATATATTAGGTTTCAATTAATTTTTTTATAGATTAACTTATTAGTTTGAGTCAGTTTGACTGATGTAAGATGAGATTAATGGAAAAAATCAATTCATTCAACTCAAAAACTTAAGCCAGCGTATAATTTTTTACAGTGTATAAGTGATATGCGATTTTGAACACAGAACTTGAAAACGCCCCGTTTGTTTCTCAGAGATCTGTTCTGAATATCATCCAGTATAGCTCATGAGCAGAACAGAACATATGATGATGTCTTTAAAAGGTTAAAAAGATTTGCGTCATTCCAAATTGACTATGGAGCCAACTAAGATGTGAATGTCAGGGTTAACTTGACTGACAGATGGGTTAAAGGCAGTTACCTTGCGGATGTAGGCTTGGAGAGCTTTGAGTCCGTACATGCGGAACACAAACCACATTTTGAGAGAGCGAAACCTCCGACCCAGCGGGATCTGCCAGTGCTGAAGGGAGATGAGATGAGATATGACAACTGTGCACACGCAAATACACATGAAACACAGACAGCACACATGAACGTATGTTTAAACAAAAGTTTGTAGTTCGATGTTCTCTCAAAAACATATACAGACTTATATTCACATTCAATACATTTCAATATTAAACATTTATATTAATGTACATAACAATACATTAAAATACCAAATGAGTACATTAATATGTGGATATAATTTTACAGTTAAAGGGATATTTCACCCAGAAATGAATATTGGACCATCATTTACTCACACTAGACTTGTTCCAAACCCAGTAGAATAATTTTTGTTCTGTTTAACACAAAATAAGATATACTACCTGATGAAAGTCTTGTCGCCTATCCAAGTTTTAGGAACAACAAATAATAACTTGACTTTTAGTTGATCATTTGGTATCAGAAGTGGCTTATATGAAAGGCAAAGGCCTCTAGATTATGTTGATTTTACCAAAATAAAATATGATCATGCCTTAATTTTTAATTATTTAAATAGGACAGTAAGGTCTGACTTTATTTAGACTAAAGTCTTGTCACTTAACAGAAATAATGTACAATTTAGGATATAAAGTCATGGTGCAGAGGAAAAAGAATTAATATTGTGCATGACTCCCATAAGCTTGGAGGACTGCATTCATAGATCTCTGCAATGACTCAAATAACTTAAATAGCAAAGAAAGCGTTCTTGCAGGACTCTCAGAGTTCATCAAGATTCTTTTGATTCATCTTTAATGCCTCCTCCTTCATCTTACCCCAGATATGCTCAGCAATGTTCATGTCTGGTGACTGGGTTGGCCAATCCTGGAGCACCTTGACCTTCTTTGCTTTCAGGAACTTTGATGTGGAGGCAGAAGTATGAGAAGGAGCGCTATCCTGCTGATGAATTTGCCCTCTCCTGTGGTTTGTAATGTAATGGGCAGCACAAATGTCTTGATAACTCAGGCTGTTGATGTTACCATACTCTGCAGATCTCTCGCATATCCCCATTCTGAATGTAACCCCAAACCATGATTTTTTCCTTCACCAAACTTGACTGATTTCTGTGAAAATCTTGTGTCCATGTGGGTTCCAACAGGTCTATTGCAGTATTTGTAATGATTGGGATGCAGTTCAACAGAAGATTTATCAGAAACATCGACCTTCTGCCACTTTTTCAAAGAATCAAATAGAGGTGAAGTTATTATTTGTTGTTCTTACAACTAGGATTGACGACAAGACTTTTGTCAGGTGTAGATTGAGGAGGAATGTTGAAAGCCTGTAACATTTGACTTTGACAGAGTATATATATATATATATATATATATATATATATATATATATATTTTTTTTTTTCTGGTTTCAAACATTCTTCAAAATATCTTCTTTTGTGAAATGGTTTGGAACAAGTCAAGAGTTAGTAAAAGATGACAGAATATTAATTTGTGTGTGAAATATCTCTTTAATATATATCTAAATTACATCATTTGTGATTATTAGATATGACTCTTCACCTGCTTTCAAAAACGTACTTTGTAATAATATCTTTATATTTGACATAATAGGAAACAAATAAAATGTTAAGAACATTTTCTGTAAATGAACTGTTGAAGCTCTAAATGAAATGAATTTGTTTTATTTAAAATTAAATGTCTTTCAAATTATTTGTTACATTTTAACCAGATTCAAAGGGTGGGTGGGGGGGTGCCTCACACTATTTTTCAGTATTTATTAAATTTATTTAAAAGAAATAAAACATTTTTAATGCAGGTTTTATGAGGTTAACAAATCAAAGATTATTATTTAAACTACTCCCCAAAACCCTTGTTCAAGAGACTTTAATCACCAAGTAAACCAGGTATTACTTTCCAAGTGGATAATAAACATATAATAACAGGCTTACATAGATTATCAGTGAGGTAAACAAATATTATTCATTCTGCATATGCACTGCTCTATGCAAAATCTACTGGTATTGCTGTATCTATTGGGACATTTGGTCCCCACAATGTGAGGAATTCATGGTACAGACACACACTCTTAATATACTTACTCTATAATCAGTGACAAGTCCTATAAAAAAAATAAAAAAATCATAATTAGTCATTTCACACCGAAAATCAAGTTCATGTGTGAATAATATACTCACATAAGCACAGAAATCATAAACGATAATTCACACATATCAATCAATAATACATTAAAGGATAACATTTAGTTTTCCCATCCGCCAAAGGCTGTTGTTAATGTAATCATGCAGTTGTTCATGATGGAAATGGCTTTAAGGTGTGCATGCATATATAAGCGTGTGCATGTCTGTGTGCACGTGTGTTGGTGGTGGGTTGAGAGACAGTGCTGCTCTTTTGTTTGGTTGTCAACACAATTACAATGGTCTGCACAGCTGCACACTGCCCACAGGCGCATTACCAGAGGATCTGTCTTTGTTTAGCCAGGTTTAAATGGTCAATAAGCAACTGGAAGCAAAAAATGCACCATGGTTTTACTACATACACACACCAAAATGGTTATAAACCATAATGTATCATTTTAAACCATGTGTAGATATACACTTTTAACCATGATATTATTATCATTATAGTAAACCTTGGGTGTGCCAAAACACTACTACACTACATTTACCATAATAAAACCAGCCAGATCTCATGAGGAAATGCAATTATTTTATGTTTTGTCAGTTCACTGGCTAATTCATACAAGTTCTGTTGTATGAAAATGATTAAATTACATGTTAATATGTTAAGAGATAATCAATTTTAAATACCGTTTATTTAATTTTAAAGTTACTCTTATTCAAAATGAATGTCACTTGGGTAAAATGTTATTTACTATACAGTAGACACCTTATGTGTGTCACGTACTGTTGCCACATATACAGGACACCATACAAACAAAAATGCACCTAAAGTAATTAAGTGTTGAGGCACAGAGAGCTGTTGTTTACTAGTAAACAGAGAGGCTTACAGAACACCGCAGTGGACTGGTAATCTGTAAATAATGAATTGGTAAATAATCTGATGGAGACTTTACAGTGTGACGTAAAGTGGATGTCAGCACAAGACATCATGTCTCATTAATAAGGATCATTGTCATCCGCTTTACACCTCATGCTTGGGCACTTCAGTTATTTCTTAGTGTTACTGTTGTTTATTATTTACCATAATCATAGCTGTGGTTGCCAGTAGTTTATTATGGATGGTATTATTATAAGAGAAGAACTTTATTTTAAACTACAAAAAAAATTATAATAATAATAATAATAATAATAATAATAATAATAATAATAAAAATAATAATAATACTTTTTATTTTTAAAAAATCGTAAAAAAATAAACAATTGATAAAATTTCACAACACAGGCTCATTAGAAAAAAAGCGTAAAAATACACGTTTTTTTTATCATGTTTCAGATGATTAATACACCAGAGGGCGCTGTCTACAATTTTTAATCTGAAATACCAACACAATCTTACAGCAATTTGTAGCTTTTTGATTTAGTGGCTAATTTGTACGATCTAATTCGTACTATTTAGTACGATTTGCTCATCACTCAATGACGGTGGGGTTTAGGGGTGGGGTTAGGTGCCACGCCTCCTTTTTAAAATCATACATTTTCGTACGACTCAACTTGTACGAATTCGTACGAATTAGCCACTAAACAAACAAAACGTAAAATACTTACGTTTCCTCGTGAGATCAGGCTGGAAATACTTTACTTAGGGGTGTGAACATATTGCGTATTTTGCACACACAAGTTTGTTATTTCCAAATGAAGATCCCAGCTTGGATGTGTAAATAGGGATACGCAACGTATTCAATTTTTCAGTAAGCTGCAAGCGCACTGTACTAGCACTGGAAAGTTATGTGACAAATACCAACCACTTCTGCTTTACGATTGGAATATCCACATTTCAGTAATAATGTCAGGCTAATTACCTCAGACATCAGTGCTTTTTAACTCCTTCCATAAGTAAAATTTGTTTTAAAGCTACAGCAATAATTTGTCATCCTCTGAGAGAACGGTTGCCTAGCAATGACAGACGCCACAGGAGTGTGAATGTAGAAGGTAATTAAAAATTGGTGAAGGACTCGACGCACCTCAAGCTTTCCAATCACTGTTAGACATAATTGAACGGCTCCTTAAGGGATTTTAATGTATGTTTTAGATATGCGTCCTCGTACATGTCTATGAGAAGGCAGAGCTTGCCATAAAGATCTGCGAGCAAACCACTGTTCTAAACTGTTCCCTAAACCCAACCATAGTGTTTTCAAAAGCAAATGTAAATGAAAATGCACTGCATTCACGCAATTTTACCTTGATTTATATTGTTTTAGCTCTTTTGTAGAACTGTATTTCACCGCTCTCAAACCCAAGTGCCTAGCATTACAATGTGAGCTACCGAGCAAACTGACCATACTAAAATATTTATTTGCTGTCTAAATATGTATTTGCTGTAGTTGCGCAAAGAACTACATGAAAATAAGATTGCATTTGTCAACAGTATGTCTCTAACTATCGTTAGTGTGAAAAGGAACACAGTTCGTCGGCTTCAAACTGCCCTGTAGCATTCATTTTACCAAGAAACTGCAGTGAAACATACTTGTTATATTTTTATTGTTTGACAAAGGTGTAGGCCAAACTACGTGTTTACAATAAGCCTGTTGTTATTTTTATTCATGCGCACATTTACCAGTAGGAATGACCTCCCGCCCTACTCATAACTCTCTCTTCATATAGCCATATATATGCCTATGACAAAATACACTGTGAAATAGACGGGCTCGGATTGTATTGCTTTCTCACTACAATTGATCCGCTCCAGAGTGTGTTTCAATCAAGCTGAAACCACCTCATTCAGGCAATCTCGGACCGATTGATTTGGCGTGGATCCGAGCGCAATTGCTGAATTCACATATATCAAACGAACCACTCTTACTGGGCAAACAAGAAACAAAACAAAAAGCTTAGGTTTGAAAGCATCTTTAGTTAGTGTTACTTAAAACAAACAATGAACAATTAACTTATTACAGCATATATTCATCTTTGTTAATGTTAGTTTATACAAATAAAGTTGTTAAGGGTTAGTTTAGTTTATGTTAACTCACAGAGCAATAACTAATGTTAACAAGCATGAATTTGGATTTTAATAATGCATTAGCAATGTTGAACTATGATTAATAAATTATGTACAAGTATTGCTCATTATTAGGACGGGATTTGTTTTTTCCATCAGTATCGTATTGGATTCTTTTGTATGCCTTAGTGAAGGCTCATGTGAGGGAAACTAATTTAATATGAATATTATCTGGATATTAATTTGTTTGTTTGTAAAGGGAAATGTTAATGGATTAGTGCTGGTTAATTACCTGACTCTTGGTGATCATGCTTTAGATAAAGTGGCTCCATTTTAAATGCTCCAATAATGTCTGCTCTTTTCTTTACCCTGCAGAAAAAAAATCAAACATTCACATTTATTAGTAAAACACATCATTGAGTAATTTTGTGGAATAACTAATAAATAACATACTTGGTAATAAATATCCTACATGAAATAAAATATGATGTATCACATATCACAATACATACAATCTGCATTGCTTAATAAACATAGGAAATAGAAACAGTTCAAAGATACACTGAAAAACAACAGTGTTATTTTCAGTGAGCATAGTGTTTGTGTGCCTGTTTTAAAGGGGTGGTAAACTACGATATCATACTTTAAACTTTAGTTGATGTGTTATATAGCTGTGTGAACATAAACAACATCTCTGAATGTAATATTCTCAAAGTTCAACGCAAAGGGAGACATTGGCTTTTACAGAGTTAGCTTAGCAAAGCCGACAGTAAACAACGTTAGAGGAAACCTTGCGCAGCGAAGGGGCATGGCCAGAGGCGCTGTAGTGTTATAGCTGAGAAAGCTAAAATGCTGTCCAAGTGCTGCTATTTTCGTAGAGCTTCTTCTGTTTTTGTATTTGGGCCTCCAAATGACATGACACAAAGAGAGAAGTGCTTACAGTTTAATGTTAATAATGTTCCAGAGAATTATAATAAATATATAGCTAGCATTTGACTAAAGACAGCTTCCAGAATCTCTTCCAGTTCAGTGCTGGATTCGGCTAAAAACTCTTCAAAGAAGAAGCTGTGGATTGTGAGCCACAACCTGTAAGTATTTTTATTTGTTAAAATTGTTGTATTACCTGCATAACGTCTAGCATTAATGGTATGTTGTAGCAAGGACTTAAACAAGGATGTAAACAATGGGAAAAGCTGTTTGGCACCGCTAACAATTTAGCTACAAATTCATATGTACTCATCAAATCGCTGTAAACACAAACAATCTTAACCATTGATGCAGTGTCTCTCGATGTGATCGCTTTTTCTGTGTTATACACCTCAAATAACGAACTCGCAAAATTTAAGCAAACACTTTTTTATTACTTATTACTTATTACTCATGCTAATAACCCAAAGATATATGAAAGACACTTTTCAGATGTTATTTAAGAGAGCAGGGACGAGGTTCAGCTGTGTCCTCTTTATTTTATGTCTGATTCAGGCTCAAATTGATACGGCTAACAGCTACTCTGACAGACATTATTTAATCAGCAAAAGCACAGTGTATGCTATTTAGAGGCATGATGTTTTTCCGGGTGATCGGGAGCTGATGTGTGAATCACAGCATGTTAGCTGACCAATCAGATCCTCTTGAGAGCGGACCTTTCGGAAATATGTTTATTGTTGTCATGTTAGCTGAGTAGCCATGTATAATCAAAGAAGAATATATAAAAAATAACATGATTTTAAGCACATTGCTTTGCATGTGGACATATGGATGAATGATAACAGCCTTCTGAGCCAACCAGTAGGCGCAGAAGGCCCCTACTAGCCCATATACCTCAGCTGATAACCACTGATAACGCTCATTCAATGGAGTGATAACATTCAAATCGGCTGTTCTGAGAGTGTATTTGTATGAATGTGTGTATCATATTGTATGCAATACAATAATATGTGTACAGTACATTTATTGACCGTATTCTTCAATGCGGAATTGAGCTCGCTTTTGCAATTGTTTTAGAACTTCAGATTCAGTTGCCCTATGGGAGAAATGACTAGAAATAATAAACGGCAGAAAACGGTCAAACTATTTGCTCTACAAAGAAGTATTTTCATATACAGAAAAAAAACTAGAATAATATATTAAGAAATATCAGTTTGCAACATCAAGCAGCAAAACAAGCTGTTTTTAATGTCTAAAAATGAATGGAAGTGAATGAGACCGGAAGTCTTGAGCCAAAATGATTCAAATGGATGTGCAGAGAATACGCAGAGAATAAGGTGAATAGGTTAACAAAGGATTACTTAGTTCTTTACTAAAAGACTTGCATCACTGGTTTTCCAGTTCAAAGTTTAAGGTTTATTTTATTACCGCTGTACTTTTACAGAGAAGCAATAGGAAACATTTAGAAAGTCAAGATTTGTTGAAGAAAGACATAAGTTGTGACACAAGCCTGTATTTCATTTATTTATTAATTTCCCTTCAGCTTAGTCTCTATTTAGGAGGTTGCCACAGTGGAATGAACCACCAACTATTTTAGCATATGTTTTATGCAGCGGATGCCCTTCCAGCTGCAACCCAGTACTGGGAAACACTCTTGCATTCCCAGACATGGACAATTTAGTTTTTTGAATTCACCTATAGCGCACGACTTGACTGTGGGGGAAACCTGAGCACCCAGAGGAAACTCATAAGAACATGAGGAGAAAATGCAAACTCCACACAGAAAGGCCAACTGGCCCTGCTGAGACTCGAACGAGTGACCTTGCTGTGAGGCGACAGTGCTAACCACTGAGCCACTATGCTGCCAGCCTTTATTTATTAAAGCAAAATACAGTGGAAACACTGAGACTTTATATGTATTACTGTATAATATTGTAATATCACAGCAATTCAAAAATACTTGTTTTCTATGTTTGTATATTTTAAGTGTATTTATCTCTGGTATGGCACAGCTTAACATTCACGAGTCCTTATTTTAGGATCACACAATCCATCAGAAATCATTATTACTAAAATTATTATATAAAAAAAAAGTTTAACTGTTGTACGTTAGGGATTCTGTGATGAATAGAAAATTCAAGAAACTTTATTTTGTTTTGAAATCTAGACATTATCAATGTCTCAACTCAGAACTAAACACTTTTAAATAATGTACACTGAATAATAATGTATGTCTATTTTCGTCTTTATATGACCATGAAGATATCTGTTTCCCTGCTGCTGACATAAAGGGCAGCTGGGACCATTTCCTTTGTTGACTGACAAAGATAAAACATGGCATGCTGGCATACAGTAGATGGAGATCAAAGGAAAATAAATATAATTTTTATAGATAATGATATTAACAACACTTACCACATCGCCGAGCAATCAAAGTTGATCAGGAGCCATTTATGAGGATTGAAATTGAAAGAGTCTGCAAACTAAAACAGAAGCATGTTTTGATTTAGTCATTTTTTCAGAACTCATGTCTTTCTACCCTTTAAACTTACATGACATTGTTTAAATTAGCAACAATGCCCCTTTAAAATAATTCAGAGATGAACAATTGTATGTTCTATATACTGTCAACACAATACTGTCAACACAATTGTATAGTTCATATTAATTATGAAGTCAGTCATGAAAATTTAATACTTTTATAATTATTGATTGTTTTATTTCCTTTTTTTATTAAAACCATGATCTCAGAAATTTATCTACATGGTTTGGGGTTTTAAGATCATTACCAGAATTGTAAATAGTAGGGATGCCACGGTTCTCAATATAATATAGAACCGTACAGTACGACCTCCACTGTGTGTGCCTTTAAATCCATGAGCTGAGATGAGGAAACTCCTCCCCGCGAGTAAATATCCAATCACTATGCTTTAAAGTTAGGGGCGCTTGACCATCATTCCACACCTTAACATTGCGAGCGGTGGCGAAGTGAGGCAACAGTACAAGGAAGCTTTAGCGAAGTGAGGCAACAGTACGAGAAAGCGCCGACATCTTTCAGATCTGCTGTGTGAGGATATTTCGGTTTTGCCGGTAAGTATAATGCCAATAAAAGAAAAGACGGTGAACAAAAAATAACTGTGTGCAAGCATTGTTTTACACGTATAACCATGACTGCAAACCAAATAGCAACAATCCCTCGCTGAATCTTTCAAACAAACATACCCAACTGGTTCCGAGAGACACGTAAAGGTTTATTCCTAAAGATTTGCAGCCGTTTTCCGTGATTGGAGATGTGGGCTTTTGTCATTTTATAAAAGCACTCGATCCGCGTTACAGACTATAGTCTCGCATTTTTTCAGCGCTGATATAATTAAGATGGTTTATTTATGTTGACTTAAGTACAAATATGTTTATTTGAAATGGCCAATTTATCTTTATTAACTTCACATGTATGTTTATTTTCAAAGTGTAGGGTTTTATGTGTTCCCCAGTTTGTACATGGGCTACCAGCAGCTGTGAGATTTCAATGTTATTTTTTTTTTTTTACAATACACTACTAGTGTCCTTTTCTTGGCTTTTAAGTAAAACAAAATGAGTAGTGCAATAAATCGTTTTTATTTTTTTCTCCTTAACCTCTCACTGTTTCTATTGCCTTTAAAAAAAAAAAAAACATGTGTTAATCCATGAGAACCGAACCAAACCGAAAACCGTGTTAAAAAACTGAGGCATGTATTGAAACGTGGGCTAACTGTATTGTTGCATCCCTAGTAAATAGTACACATTTTTGGTTCACATTTTATACGGTTATACCTAAAGTGAATACCAGCATATTAGTAAATGTTTTAAACTGTACTATTTTTATTAATTAGAAGGTTGCTGGTTCAAGCCTCAAGCTGGATCATTTGGCATTTGTGTGGAGTTTACAATCCAGACATGTGGTGTAGGTAAATGAGGGGGAGTCAAAAGTTTCATCTTAAAGTTGGTCACTTTTTCTAAAAAAAACCCCCAAGATTAAAAAAACTAAAATAAAAAAATAAAAAAATTACCATAAAAAAAAACATATAGGGTACAGTGATTGTCCTCATGCTCAATTTTGATGTGTCAGCTATAAAACATTTTTTTTTTTAATTTTAAAAATATACACTCCGAAGGACACAATACCCCTACTTTAGTTGAAAATAAATGATGACCTCTGATTAAACTTTGATAAAAAAAACTCACAAACTGACGAGAGAAAGCCTAAGCACTGACAGTATTTGTGATGAAGATGAGGTTGTTTCTTCATGCAAAACAGATTTGAGGATTGAAATCAAATTTAGATGCTTAATTTTAGAGCTTTAGTGAAGATGAACAGTGTATGCAAAATTCTAATCAAACCAAATCTTGGCTCTCTCTTTACGTTCTCAAATTACAGGTTTTGCTTGTTGGTACCAAATCAACACTCTCCAAAACCGCTTTGCTCTTTCTATTGATGACTGTTCCATGTATCCCTCTAAACAGGTTAAGAGTCTGGGTGTCATCCTTGATAGGACTCTATCTTTTTATTCTCACATTAATAACATCACCCGATCTGCTTACTTACATCTATGCAACATTATCCGTCTCCGCCTTTCTCTTACCCTCTATGCCACTGCCGTTCTTGTCCATAGCCCTGTCACATCTCGTTTAGATTACTGCAACTCCCTTCTCTTTGGTCTCACTAATAAATCCCTTCATAAGCTTCAGTTATTCCAGAACTCAGCTGCCTGTATCATCACCAGAACCCCTTCTTCTCATCACATCACCCGTGTCCTGCAGCAGCTTCACTGGTTACCTGTTCATTTTCGAATTGTTTTTAAAATTGTGATGTTAACATTCAAAGCCATCCACAATCTAGTCCCTCCATATATGCCTGCCCTCAGATCCTGCTATCTTTTTCCTCCCTCCACTAGTCTGTTCCCCCAGCTCGTCTGTCGTCCTTGGGCAATAGAGCATTCAGCCGCTCTGCTCCCCGGCTTTGGAAATCACTACCACCCGCCATCAGAAACACTGACTCCCTCATATTATTCAAATCAAGACTCAAAACCCACTTATTTAAGATGGCTTTTAATACTTAAAATACTTTTTTGTATCTGCACTATTGTTGTGTATATTTTTATATTATTTTTCTTCGATGTTTTATTGCTCTTGTTTTATTGTAAGGTGTCCTTAAGTTGGCACAAAGGCGCCTTTAATAAATTGTATTATTGTTATTATTATTATTATTAATATTATTATTGGTTTCTCAGAGATGGGTTGCGGCTGGAAGGGCTTCCGCTGAGTAAAAACTTGCTGGATAAGTTGGCGGTTCATTCCGCTGTGGCGACCCCGGATTAATAAAGGGACTAAGCTGACAAGAAAATGAATGAATGAATATTATTATTGGGTGACGTGGTGGCGCAGTAGGTAGTGCTGTCGCCTCATAGCAAGAAGGTCGCTGGTTCGAGCCTTGGCTGGGTCAGTTGGCATTTCTGTGTGGAGTTTGCATGTTTTCCCTGCGTTCGCATGGGTTTCCTCCGGGTGCTGCATTTTCCCCCAGTCCAAAGACATGGGGTACAGGTGAATTGGGTAGGCTAAATTGTCCTTAGTGTATGAGTGTGAATGAGTGTGTATGGATGTTTCCCGGAGATAGGTTGCAGCTGGAAGGGCATCCGATCCGTAAAACATATGCTGGATGAGTTGGCAGTTTATTCCGCTGTGGGACCCCGGATTAATTAGGGGACTAAGTTGAAAAGAAAATGAATGAATTATTATTATTATTAAGACAACATAAGGGTTAAGAGGAGTCATTTGTCACCTGCTGGTTGGCAAAGTCTGATATGAACTGTTTGGAAGCATATTTTAAATCAAACTCACACAGCAGAATCTGTCCAATAAGAATTCAGCGAGTCCCACAATCTTAAAGTCTAATCTTTTTCCTCACTCTCCCATTTCCAATATCCTTTCCATCTGCTGCAATAATACAGACTTGGTCATGACAGTCTGATTGTTGCTATGCTAAGTCCTCCCTGTCTTCACTTCCTGGCAACCAAACAGGAAACGGCAGCCAGCCGTCCTTTCGGTCAATAATAAAAGCCATCATCTGTGCAAGGGAGCACAGTCATCGTGATTGTTTGAGCTTGTAAGGCTAATAAAGACTGATATTTCTTCAGCAGGAGAAAAAGAGGAACTTATCTAAAGGTCTTCCTTTGCCTCAGGAAATTACTTTACCCTTATCATTGTGACACCCAGCTGAGCTCCACAACAACTCAAAGGACGATCAGCGATCTCTAATTTCCCGCCCATTCCACAAGACATCGCTCATGCCGACTCGCATTATTTGTGACATTTAAATATTCTGCAGGACTCTGTCTTTTCCACACGCTGCTCCAAACGTAACAGGATCAATAGTTGAGCCTAGCAGAGATTATCATTCACGCTTGTCCGAGCTTTAAGAGCTCCTTCTCTGAAGTGTGCTTAAGAACACACGGCAGGATTGGAATATTATCTCACCTCAATGCCGTTCAGCAAGGGTCTGAACTCCGGACAGATAAAAGCACTCCCGGCATATGCAGCATCGATGTGCATCCACATTTTCTCTGCATTGCCTGACAGAAACAAACACAATGATGCGTTGAAAAACTAGTAACACTTTCTTAAAAATTTAATATCATAAAAGCAACATACCTGAAGGCTCTAAAAACTTAGTGCTATATATGTTTCTGGAGGCCGCAAATTATATAGCCAAAGGTACATCTGACAACATTTAATTTTTTGGGGGGGTCATTCAGTCAGTCATTCAGTCAGTCATACAGTCAGTCAAACAGTTAGTCAGTCAACAGCGGCCTCAGGTGGATTTATGCGAGAACAGCAGGCATGAATGGCACTTGCGAGGTAAATTTGAGATCTCAAAAAGCGTACATGGTGGCCTCTCGTGGATTTGCGGAAACAAAAACTGCAAAAAAAAAAAACGGTCCCCAGAAATATATATAGAAGTACGTTTTCAGAATGAGCCTGGGTTGCATAAAAAGCTAGTTTAAACCAAAATTAAATTCTGTCATCATTCACTCACCTTCATGTTGATCCAAAGACTTTTTTAAAAGAAATACCTTTCACAATTCATTTTAAGTCACAATTCACACTATTAACTAT